ACTCTTCAGGAATTGTCTTTCTCCTGTCTATCTTCACCATAATCCATAGGACCGAGTATCTTACTTCAAATCTATCCACTCTGAAAAATACAGATCGATCTTGTTGACGGAATTCCCACACTTCTTGCATACCTCCTCTATAACATCAATTTTTTCAATTGATGGTCCACTCATGTTGAGAATGCAAATTGCACATGTGAATTGTTCGCTATAAGACTCATCATCATTGAGGTCACATAGTTGGTAAATTCAGCAGTCGCATTGGTCACATTATACTCAATCTGTTCTATCGAAAATCACGAGACCGCAATACGCACACCAAGGTCAATCTTCTGAACATATCGTTTTCTGTGGTGTGTATGGATTCACCTTGTTTTCCGTTTATTCCTTCTGCTTGTGCAGGAATCTCCCTGATAGATGACTGTTCATTTCATGACGATTTCTATAGCAAGTTTCTCGTAATATTTTATCATCTGTCAGATCTGGTTTGGTACAAATAGATATTTCAATGTCCAGAGTGCTCTCAATTGCCAGTGACAAAACATCTTCTCTCAGCTTCTGCAAGAACTAAAAACATTCAAGATTCCTTTGTTATTATTCTAATGTGATCTCCTTCAGTTGACCAAAATGATTTTTCACGATTGATTTGCTAGAGACAACTTCAAAGAGGAAAATAGGAAGTACATGTATTTCGTCATATTGCGATTTGCGAATTCTTCATTGAAGTATGGGTTCTATTCATTTCCATCAAGTTGTGAATTCAGGTTCTGTTCTAGACTGGTATATTTCTCATGAAATGATCTCCTTATGTACTTCATTTCTTCACCCGTTCGCGTATCATCAGAAGAACCACTTTCTACGTTATGGAACAGAGTATCAAAAGGAACAATAGCCTCCCATCTATTCAGAGATCTCAATATTATAAAATCATTTTTCACTGATTCAGATTTGTATTACGATTTGAGAATGTTGATTTAATTCAAGATGAACGTTCAAACACATTGGTGGTTCCCATGTGAACGAAAGCTGCGATGAGATCTTCAAAATGAGGCCTCTGATATTGATTTTTTGATAGATCATCCACATCTTTGCAAGCATTTTTGAGGAAATGAGCACAACATGAATGGATTCCTTCCAATTGTCCGTCTCTTACAGTTCCCATTTGTTATTACGAATTTGACATTTTTGTATATTATATTCTAGAGGGCTGCATTTGTTGGAGAATCTACAATTTGCATTAAGTTTTGCGAAACGAATATCCGTTACAACAGTAAAAAGTACTAGCCACTGCTTTGGCATACTCTCCTTCATGTATTCTGAATGATCTCTATTCATTAAAATGAGGTCGATAAATATTGTCTGTAGGTTGATCGAGGAGGTGGTACATTTATTATTACAAATTTCTTGGGCTTCTCTCTCCTCGTTTTTATAAAATCGAAATATGAATATTATTTCAATATACGTGTAGAAAGGACAAATCAGATGATTCGCCCCAAAATGTCACTGACAAGCTAGTGAATTGTTTTTTCAGGCTCTCTGATTCTTGAAACGCAGTAACATTCTGGAACGAATCATCTGATTTGTCCACACTACACGTATATTGATATGATATTCATATTTCTATTTAATAGAAACGATGAGAGAAAATCCCAAGAAATTCGGAATAATGAGGTCGATAAAGTCATCTTTACGATCTAACTGACCAGAGCCTTTCGATTCGATTATCCTGAGGATTGGGGCAGATTAAATGTTTTTTTGATTCTGAAAATTCTACAGCAACAGTAATACATGAGCTCACAACAAGGATGGTTTCTTAGATGGAAATGGTTTGATGTTCTGTAACTAATGACAATAACTCATCGACGTGCTTTAAACGCTGAGATTTTTGTGATTCATAGGGATCTTGAATTCCTCATAATAATTGTTATCGATATGTTCACATTGGCCGATTATATCGATTGTAATTTCTTTTTCGAAAATGTTTTATTATTGAAAACTGTTCAACGATTCCAATTCACTTAATTTTTTTGGTTCCTGAAATCGTATTCAATATCAACCAATCAATGTCAAATCCCATTTTGATCCATTCTCGCGAAGAAGTCCAGCAAAGGAATGAAGAAAATAAAAACTATTTGTCCAGTCTCAGATCTTGACCTGGCAAAACGTTCACTTCCAGCTATCGAACCGTTTTTGATGAATTGATTCATCGATTCTGCGGGGACCTGAGAGACGTTTATTGCCTAGGAAACTCCACTTCTGGTAAGCCATCTCATAACGCCACCTTTGTTGAGGTTCAGATGATAATAGTACATAGATTACTCACTTTCCTGAACTTCGCTATGATTTGATTCCTTCTACTCGAGACTGTTTATTTCCATATCTGCTATCTCATCCGAATTTAACATCATCAAAAGTTAGTATTTCCTCAAAATACCAAGCTTCGATTTTATCGATATGTCTAACTGAACATAATCCTCACTGAAGATGGACAACAAATGGCAGAGTGGAATAATATCAAAATCATAGAAAAGGAAGATAACAACCAAAAACGAAAAATCAAGGAATCTGCTTGTATTCTTCTAAACCTCGATCTAAACGTAGACAAAAGTATTGCTTCCTATTCAGTTAACGAAGATAGAACATGGTATTCACTAGTGAAAACTGAACATGAAAATGGTAGATTTAAGATCAATTGATGAAAACATCCTGTAACTCATTTGTAGACTAAAATCACTCATTCATATGCCAACATCAGTATGACACTGAAAAGTGTCAAACTATAAGCAGCTATACTTTCGAAGAAATATAGGTAAAAATTCGATATTTTTTCAATATACCTATATATATTTTTTTCCTTCAAACATTTTTTTGAACGAATTGTCACTGACAAGCTACTGGATTTTTCTTCAAATCTCCCTTATAGAAATTTTTTTTAAACGCATTGACATTTTGGGACAAATCATCTGATTTGTCCCATTACAAATAAATTTGAATAATGGGAATATTCTCATTTCATAGAAACGAGGAGAGGAAATCCCAGAGAATCGAGTAGAATGAATGTACCATGTCCTCGATTAACCTACAGATAGTATTTTTCTTTCCTCGTCTCTATGAAATTGAAATATGGATATCATTCCAATATACGTGTAGAAAGGACAAATTGGATGATTTGCTCCAAAATGTCACTGAGTTTGAAGGATTTTCTGATCGGAAAATCATAAAAAATCTGAATTGATGAATGCACCACCTCCTCGATTGATCTATAGACAGTATTTAGAATGTTAGTTCAGTCAGCATAACAACAATAATGATAGCGATAAGTCATTTATCTTCATACTTCACTGTGTTTCGCTTGGTGAAGGGAGGTAGGTAACAATGTCATTGGGTGAGACGAAGAACTATTGATGGTCATGATTATTCCACAAAACAAGTTCTTCATCCCAAGAATAACGAATAATGGAATAAAGATCAAGCAAGTATGTGAATTTTGGGGGCTCTCCTGATGAAAACAGAAATACTCAATTGAAATTCAGTGAATTTGAATATCCAGCATAAGAATGAAATGCCAAATCTGTCGAAATTGGAAACGAATCAGGTATGCTTCCCGACCCAAATGAGCAATCATACTAATGTTGTTTATTCTTGATGGCCTCTAGTACATTCTTTTCAAGTCCTAGGAGGTGAAGGAACTGAAGTTTGCCTAGGCTAGCAACACACCTATGTTCATGTCAGTAATAGAAACGTTAACTCAAGAGCTTGAGATATTTGTGAATTTTCAAGCATGATTGTAAGAGATCTTGGCTACTTATTTTCGAAAATGAATATGGTTTTGAAGAATGAAATTCTCAATTTCTTTCAAATTCTGTTTTGTATCGTATCTCTAACTTCCTTTCCAATAAGTTCAGTTTTTTGACGTGCTTTATCACCTATTAAAGTGGTAGGACTTTGAATGATCGAGTTTTTTCGTACAGGTGCAGGTTATGGGATATATGATGTATGATATTTCCAGTAGATTCCGCACAGGTAAATCAGAGACATTTTAATGCTGTTTGTTGCCTGAATGTACATGGTGAAATTTTGTGTGTGTGTGTGAAATCCATCTGAATTATGGGAAAATTGAGGGTAAAATGGAGATGAAGAGGCTCGAAAGAAAAGAGTTGTCTCAGGGGTGTAACTAATGAAATTACTGTTGAGTCGATGAGGAACTGCTTGCGAGGCTATACACGGTCGGTAAATTCGTCATCTCCACCTGTTTATTCGACGAATAGTTTCACTTCTGTTGCTGATATTTGTCATCTGACTGACAATCGAAACCGAATTTCGAATCAGTTCGACCCTCACTTGATGGAGATCCATAGTCATTGCAAAAACTCATCGAACGATGGAATTTCCACAAAATTCTCATCACAAAACATGTTTCGCTATAATATCAGGTTCTTCAGGTGGAATACTGGTGCAATGACCAGACTTATTATGCCTTGCCTAACTCTCATATCCCACGTTCCCAACCTGAAGGATTTTCATTTTCACAATATCAATATTTTAATGCGTTGTCCCGGATCAACTCGAGAGGGTTCATAGGAAAGTAATATCATTACCAACTATGAACAAAAAGCTACTAGCAGTGAATCACTGACGTCTGGTTAATCGTTGAGTGGAATGTAAGAATGTTCGCGTTTGTTGATTTTCAATGATTCGAAATAATCAACAATAATATGCATGGTTTTCCTCTGATATATAGTTAGCGAGTGTTGAATTCGTTACCTCCTTTACAAAATGCATCTTATGTTCATGAACGTGCTGATTGAACGTACGACCTGTCTGACCGATATATACTTCCGTATAAGATCCACAGTTACGTGTGTGAATAAGAATATTGTGAAGATTTTATCGTTCATGAAGTTTCAACATCAACTCCGAGTACAATTCTAGACACAAAGACTGGGATGCATTGATTCAATTTTTTTTTTCAGAAACCTCCTGTTTCGAACGCATTATATATGGAGAGAGTTGGCGTATGTGAAGATTCATATAGGGATGTTGAAAGTCCTCTGATGAACTTGAAAGTGACACATTTCAACAGGACTATGAAACTTTTGAGCTATGATGTGACATTCAGAAGACCGATCGACGAAAATATTGAGGTGACTGTACAAAATCACGATATCGACATTCTTGCCACAACAGGGGCCAAAAAAATGGTTTGCTATCAATACCTATAGTGGAAATTGGTCAAATCACTGCGCCCATTGCTCTTAGTGAAGGCTGGCAAAATTACCTCGAATTCCACACCAGTAACTTCAAACCAAACCAATTGTGTTTTATTGAAGAATCACTATCGCGATATATGCATTCTAGTGGAAATTTCTAGCTTTTGGTTACCTTATAGCAAATTGAATCGAAAATGACTCCAAGTTTCAATGACACAATAATATTTCGATTTTTTACCACTTGTGAAGTAACTCAGAGTTGATAGAATGAAAGAATGTGATATGTTACATCGTGAACTGGTATTGTCATGCAACTACAATATGAAGAAATTGAGAATATTTGATTCAGGATTTTATTGGTGCCGAAGCTGCGACACTGAGTTTGTTCAAGGAACTGAAGTTCCTAACAATTGAAACGTAACGATGCAAAGTTTCACTTGTGATGGTCATATGGTGTACAGGAATGAGAGGTCCATTTCGAAATACATACACGTATATTCAATGTACTACTCCTCTATTGTGTCCTTATTACATTATTATAACAACAAATCATATTGATTCAAGTATATTCACGCTGATCAGGCTGTATTGCTACCCTTCAATTCACCTTTTGACTTTCATAATAAAGTGAACGAACGAATCTCCCTACACCTTTGCTTCCGAGAGAATCCACTTCATTTTTGCCATTATTGAAGGACATTTTAAACCGTTGGGGATCTCATAGAATTGTTTGTTGAATATACAGAAATTGTAAAACCCACTTAAACCTGGAACAGATTCATTTATAATCCAATTGTAATTATCAAAATGTATTCCCTACATGGAAATATCTACAGAAGCATAAAACACAGTTACAATGACCCCTTGAGCCCAAAGAAATAATAACTACTATACTATAATATAACGCCAAATGATTAATGTTTTGCCCTCATTACGGCTAACTATATGAGTAGACGTCTACTATAATAATATCAATACTGTCAAGAAGTTCAAATGCATATGCATTAACATCACTGAAACTCTCGTTCATTTCAAGATCTATTATCATTAATCAACTTTTCTGAATTTGAACATTCCGTACATTGTAATCTCGATCAGGTCAGCGGAGTTCATATACGTCAGTTCCTTTATAATTTGCAAAAAAACCGCTTACCGTGCAATCATACCTAGGTAAGCAGTATCAAAAGGTAACGACCATTTTCAATGCGGAAAATTGTGAAGCTAGTATCGAGTTGAAATATAAATAGAACCCGAATCGATAAGGCATGGGCATTATTAGTTCAATCGCTATTCCATTGGTCACTTCCAATTATTATATTGAAATCAGTACATAAGAATCATTCATTGACTGCTGACTCCCAAATTGGCACTATGCCACTCTGGGGGTATTATAAAACTCTGTATTAGAGTATTATGAAAAATTATCACCTTTTTATTGGAAACCAAAAACAACAATACATTTCTGATGCTAAACTTATTGATTCAACAATTGATCACAAGGATAACATCGAAACAGAAAGTAAATGCTACATAGGTAAATTCACGTCATGAGTTGTGAGACATAATTGAACATCACTCAAATAACCAAACAACTGATCTTCAACTGCTCAGAAGAATAATGCATTCTCGTGAAAAGATATAGAATCATGTATTCGTCGGAACGTAGGACATTTTGAACACTTATACTCTAACTGATTCAATATTTCATGTTTATAGACGAATATCTCTTAATTTTCTACTTATGATTCTTTGTTCCATCAATAACTTCAGCACGAGAATAATCCTATTGTTATTGAATCTGGATAAATAGGTAATTCAACTCAATAAAATTCATTTTTTACTAGCATCAGCTATTACTTCATTAATTTCAGATCGAAATAATCCGAAAACGGAACATAGTATCGAGTTTCACCGAGAGTACCTTTTTGGCGTTGAATTGAATATTGTTCAAGTTCACATCGAATTTGGATTGGAAAATCTAATTCGAAAAAAGTTATGTTCTAAACTACTCGGTACGAGCCGTGTAACAAGCGCCCTCTATGAGAGTCAGACATAAAAACAAATTCATGCGATGGGTCAGGTTCCAAGTGACATCCATACAAAAATGCATCACAATGTTGCCAGTAGTTTCGACATAATCGTGAAAAATATGTTAAAAAATTATTTTTTCAACAACTTGTATCATGAAAACGAAAGCCGTTACGACATTTTTTCACTGAGCAAACACAACTCATTGTGCAGTGTTCTACCGACCCTAGCAAGGGGTCAAGTTTCATTGAAACACCTTGTACATCCTCATCTCGATACAATCAATTAATCTTCATAACAATTGACATTTGTTCGCTGATTAGTCTCAGTATTTCATTATCATACGATATTTCTCGAATGAGTGAATGAGTTCGCTGTACGTAGGTTTCCACCTGCAATCGATAATCTGTATGACTGTTCATATAGCTTTCCGAAAATAAACAATATCGATGATTCTATGTCGCATTTTCGAAAAAAAAAATGCCAAGAGCTTGTACAATGGCGTACATGTTATTTCAATAAGGAAATAAAACTTAGTACGACAAGGATATCCACTTGTTAATTCGCCTCGTGACTCCTCTTGTTTCACATCAAATAAGACATGAGAGTTGATTGCTCTCGCAAAACTACTATACATTCTACTTTACGGCAAAATCATTAATTGATGCTGAATCATTTCGATTGAGAACTCATTATATGCCATGCATCGTGGTTCTCCACAATAATATTCTCGAATCAGATCGAAAACGCGAGTACTGTTTCCATTATTTCCACACTCTCTGGAAATGCTCATCAAATCAAGTGAACAAATTTCGTTTCAATGAAAAATCGGCTTAGAACAAAATCATGTTTCATAGTGCCTCTGCTATTGAGAATAACCCTACATACAAATTACAACACGTGTTTCCATTTTATTTCAATGAAAATGGAGATATACACTGTGTCCATAAAGTCACCCCCCCCCTGGTTAACTATTGAACGGATGGGATTTTTTTTTTCAATTTTTTTTTGCTTCAATGGTAGTTCCAGTGCTATATATCGTCCCAAAAAAAAAATATGTATCCTCCAAAATGGCGCAAGATTTTTTTAAATGGAGTGGGGGGTCGAAAGATACCTCGATTGAAAGGTTTTTCGATTCTCTATAAAACCTCAGAATCTCAGACAAAAAAATTCATCCAAAACAAAATGGCGGATGATAACGTTTGAAATCTCACACCAGAATTCTTTCGACTGGATGGCTATTAAAGTGCTCGAATGTGATCTTCAACTCTCTATTGGCGTGAAGAAGAGTTCTCTATCCATGAGGATATCAATAGGAAGTCATTTTGAAGAGAATAACGTGGTAGTCAATTATACCTTTGCTCGATTGTCTTTCAAAATTCTGCAAAATTTTAGAAATATTCATTCGAAATAAAGAACAATGTTTATTTCACGTGACTACCATGTTATTCTCTTCAAAATGGCTTTCTATTGATATCTTCATAGATAGAGAACTCTTCTATACGCCAATAAAGATTTGAAGATCACATGCGAGCACTTTAATAGCCATCCAGTCGAAAGAATTCTGGTGTGAGATTTCAAACGTTATCATCCGCCATTTTGTTTTGGATGAATTTTTTTGTCTGAGATTCTGAGGTTGTATAGAGGATCGAAAAACCTTTCAATCGAGGTATCTTTCGACCCCCCACTCCATTTAAAAAAATCTTCCAAAATGGCGCCCAGGCGTCATTTTGGAGGATACATATTTTTTTTTTGGGACGATATATAGCACTGGAACTACCATTGAAGCAAAAAAAAATTGAAAAAAAAAATCCCATCCGTTCAATAGTTAACCAGGGGGGGGGTGACTTTATGGACACAGTGTATATTGTGACAATAACTGAACAATAAGCAATCAGGATTCATTGAAAAGCATGGGATTCGAGAGAATCTGAAACCATATCCATGAAAACCGACGAAGAACGCTATTTAGATCAATTTTCAACTTTTTTTTAGCAAAGTTTGGAATCGGATTCAGCACATCAATCAACATATATATATGATCGGAGAGAATCCGACTACCTGAACATTTTCACGTAAAAATACTATTTTGTTCGACTATTAGTAGACTCTAAATTAACATAATTTGAAGACATCAATGCTCAGTGAGAATCTCTCAGTACTATGACTTATAAAGATAAATATACCGAAATTACACAGTGTGGGTGAACAATAATATTTCGATACCAAGAGGTACTTCTTCATGAATAACGAATTCATTTAGAGGAAACCCTTCAAGCAATAAAGTTCTGGTATGAGTATTGTTGAGAACAACTCATTCTTTCAGAATGCGAGACCTTTCAATTTGAGGCAATTTGGCACATTGCTATTGATCACGCTGTGATAACGCAGTTTTAAGGATATTTGGTTATTTGGAATATAGCGATTCCTAATAAAATAGGCTTCAAGAAACTGAAAACTTGAAATCATACAGGTTTCAATTAGAGTGGAATTATGCATCGATACATTTCTGTTGTTGAGCAGTTCAAATAAAGATAAAATATATGGATCAATTCTAAAATCATTCAACATTCGAACAAAATTTGGTGTGGAAGATTCTCATCATATATCACACGAGGTTACATTATTTTCCGGTGATTTTTCTCACTCATTAATATTTTGCGGATCATTTCGCTAACAAATATTTCGATAGTTTATGTTTCAGGAACAATTCCCAGTCCTAATTGATACTTCAGTAGTATTATAAGTGATGAAATGAGATATGATTGAATGAACACAATGTGACATTGAGACGCCAAAAAAGACTTTCCACAATTCACATTGTATTTGTTTACGAATAAATAATTAATTAATCTGTCGATGTATTCGCAAGGAAGAGATGGTGCATACCCAGCAAACTTGACACAGCTGGCGAATCAATGGCCCCTTGATTCAATCGATGGCATATTACTGGCATTATTTTTAGGTGATCAGAAAATACATGTTCATTTTTGTTTCGATTATATAATACGTATGTTGCACTATCATTGTGCTGGTGCGCACATGGATTCATGTAAATCTGGATTACACTACTCTTACGGCATTGGGTGATCAATGTGTAGAATCCATTTCATGGAGATCACTAAAACAGTAATGGTTGAACGATAAATCATACATATAGGTTTCTCAATGTCATGAAGTCATCAAATTGACAATGAACCATCAGACTCTCAGTTGCATTTCATAATAGTTATTTAAGTAATAAGGATCATAAAGACGATCATTATGGTACAAGTCGTGAATGTTATCGGGCGAGGCGTAGCCGAGTCCGATAACACGGCGTGTGCCATAATGATTGTTTATGATTCGTATTACATACAAAATTTTATCTGATGGCATTTATATCAGTCATTTTCGAAAAATTAAAAACTGCATTTTTGACTGTCACAATGACAACTATTTCTGAAGGAGTAAGTATTGTGTAGTTTCAAATATTAGTAGGTGAGTAAGCTGTGCTTTGCCATTATATTAATATTACAAATTGTAGTAATTGTTCTTTTACCATTTATAATAAATAGTTTTGTACATAGTTATGCATTTTGAATAAACTTTTTTGATCAAACCATTACATGTTTTCCTTATAGAATTTCATTATGGTACTTAGTACCATAATGAATTCATTATGGTACTTAGTCCCATAATGAATTCATTATGGTACTTAGTCCCATAATGAGCTTCGTTATGTCATCAAAATTGAGTGACATAACGTTGTCATTATGACATGCCATCAGATAAACATTATTTAATCGACAATGGACAATTATTGATGTGTTTTTTATGGGTCTTTCATTTTCTTTTGAATTCTTCTGCACATGAGCCGTCATTGACGTCATTTGTGGTTGTTAGATGTGGAGTTATTCGACATCTGGAATATTCATATTTTTCATCATTCGAATCTTTTTGGTAAACTCGAATGAAATTTTTCAGTTCGATATGCAAGTGAAAAAATTAACAAGTTTGGGATGGAGGAAACTATTGTTTCTACCCAAGATCAGAGACATTTGCAGATTCGGCATGAATCACTTCAGGCAGCTATACATCCCTTACGTTACAGCTCTAGGATTGGAGAATCCTGAAAAGTGCCCAATACCAGCTGTAAGTGATATTTTATTGTTAAAGAGTGAATCGCATGATATTCTCGACGAAAACTATGTGATAGACCATGATATATATAATTCATGATTATAATTGATACATTCAATAAGAAGAAGCGTTCGTGACTGTTTTATCGGTTTCATTCGGAAAAGTATCTGTAAGAAGCAGTCGTTTGTGAACAATATCAGTAAGATGTGTTCGTTTCATTTGTCAAGCTTTCAAGAATGTTCATTTGTTCTATCGAGAGAACATCTGATGAACAATAAGTGATTGTAGGTGAAATTGAAAATCATGTGGCTTGCCTGAACACGTTATAGATGGGAATCATGGAATGAATCACGATGATTCTGATATTCTGGATTATAAAAAACAACTACACGATCCGAAATCCATGATCGAGGACCAATAATAGGGATAGATTTTTTACGACAAAACGGAACTCTGGAGTCAGGTACTGTGGACATTTGCCCAGAATCTGAAACAAATCGAAACATTCTTGCAAACACTTCTGCCTCCTATATAATATATCATGATCGTTAAGTTAAGTTCAACCCCTTCAGACATGTGATGGAAATATTGTTTTTTTCTTGCTTTCTAATTCACGATATAATAACTCCTTCATATTGAAGTCGAGTAATAAATCATACCCTTTTATTATCACACTGTTTCGAAGTAATTGAAAAAACCCAAACTGATAATAGCTATTCTTATAGCATATATCCATCAATGAAACACAATTATAAAAAATGAAACAGAATACGAGGAACTTACCAATAAGTCACCACTTCACAACATTCAATTGACAGCAGGTATACTTTCAATCGAATTGAAGAAAACATATAGGAATAACAAGGTATCATATCATGAAAGATGAAAAATGATATTCCAGACCTATAGGTCAGTTCCCGATATATAATCGATATTCAGAGCTTGTATACAGGGTAATTGAATTACGTGAAGCTAGAATTTTGAATATATAATAATTGTGAATCAGTAAAGTAGGTACAAGAAATGGTCTTGGTAACACAGATGAAAGATTTCTATAGGTAAAAAAGTGAATCGTGACCCAGGTAACACAAACCTCTCCGCGAGATCTCAGAAAGATTAACATCAAGATCATATGCGAACTCTCATCGTGAGGTAGTAAAGATCGCTATTTGCTGTACCTGAGCGGATTTCTTCTTGAAGTCACATGAAGAAATTTTTCAAACCTCACTTTCCAGTTATCGACTCTATTTCCACAACGAATTCCCAGAGTTATTTCGAAATTAACCTGAATCAGAAATTCTTACTGCGAGTTCGTTGAGCTAGCTGGAACGTAACCTGAACAAGAAATTCTTGTTGCGAGTTTCTGAAGCTATCACGTATGTAATGTAACAAAATATTCTCACTGCGAGATCTAACAGTTGACCCGAACGTTATCTGAATCAGAAGTTCTCATTGTGAGTTCTTTAGGTCATCCCGAGGGTATCACATACAAGAAATTCTTGATGCGAGTTCCTAACGATATCTCGAACGTCTATAAAAAGTGATAGCAAAATATCAACATACGACATGATTCTAACATCTCGAGAAATACTCCCACCATCAATACAGATACACACATCAGAATTCTGAATCTTGAACCACCCTCTATACACTCCAATTCAATGTCAGTAGATAGTGGATAAAGAGTTAGGATAGGGACATGTGAGCCGTTTTGACCGATAATAATAGTCTCGACACAAAGAATTCTAAAATTTAAATTTTTTGTTTTTGATTACCCTATATCTCTGTAGTTATTCCCTAGATCCCGAGTGAAAGGCATCGATGAAATTGGCTTTCCAGGGAGAACCTAGAAATGCGATAATATACATCATCTGCCGATATCTTTGAATTCGAACACCCTATACAGTGTGTCCCAAATTCGATCCTCACCATTGGGATCTCAGTAACTATGAGAGATAGAGAAACGGTTAAATTAGCAAAGTTGTAGCAAATTTAATGTTGAATCATAATCTATCGAGGAATCCGGGCTAGCTTCAGTCATTCTTGAGTTATTTGAGAAAAACTGAAATCTTGTATTTTTGTTTTTCTCGAATATCTCGGAACCTATTGATTTTATGAAAAAATGACTTCAACATTCTCATAGCACTTTTTAGTGCTCTTTTCAATGGTTTTGTCAGTTTTCCGTCAAAATGTCAAATTTCTGAGATATCACCTACAACTTCAATTTTTCTCACGGCCGCCATATTGGATTTTCACAGATTTGAAATCAGCATCAAATTTCCTTTCTAGTGATGTATCACACTTACAGTTTTATTCTATTTGGGGTACTGATTTCCAATGTTTGTTTTTATGTCCAGTAGGCTATGCGCTAAGCTCTCCATAATCATTAACGATAATGTGTTCTGGCACAACTTTCATAGAGTAGGCTTGGAGCAAAGGTGAGCCAAGTGACATTTCTGTAAACGTCAAGAAAAAATACAAGTCAATTATTTCGGGCAAACAAAATGCCGTTCACAAATCTCGAAAAATTTGATATGTACAATTGTTATATCAGAAATAATCGAAATAACAGAGAAACAGCTAGACAATACTACCATTTATATCCAGAAAGACAACAACCGCATCCTTCTATTTTTCTAACATTACAAAGAAATTTGCAAGAGCATGGAAGTTTCATTGCACCTAGGCCAAGAGGTATGGTTTGCGCTTGGATGAACAAGATATTGCAAATATCGAAGGAATCATCAATCAAACTCCTACCATTTCAATTCGAGAGCTTAGTCGGAGAACTCTTGTGCCGAAAACAACAATCCACAGACATTTAGTGAATGATAAGAGTACCACCCTTTCAAACCAGTGATAGTACAAGGGTTAAGACCTGGTGATAATGAACGTCGTCTCGAGCTTTGTCACTGGTTCCATAACCAGTGTGAATAAAGAATCGAGAACTTTCCATTGAATATCTGCTGGACCGATGAAACGAGATTTCATAATAATGGAATTTACAATAAACATAATCATCATTACTGGGCACAAAATAATCCGCATGTCATCAGAGAATCAAAGTGGCAGAACAAATTTGGTTTCAATGTTTGGTGTGGGATATTTGGTAGGTACCTTACTAGAATTTTGGTCCATGAATAACTGTTTCTCATTGTGTATTTTTTTCAGGCAGTAGACTACTAGGTCCAATTTTCTACGATTATAACTTGAATGGTCCACGTTATATTTAGAGCTATTTACAAATGAAATTTCGAATTTTATAGACGAGATACCACTTGCTGAATATGAGTTAATGTGGTTTCAGCAAGATGGTGCCCCACCGCACAATACGCGATTGGTTAGGGAATATCTCGAGAATCAATTTGGTGCTAAATTAATTACTACCCATGGACCTGTGAGATGGCCTCCAAGGTCGCCTGACCAAAAATAAAATTTATGAAGATCCAATTCAAGATATTGATGATCCACGAGATAGGGTGATGGACACATTCCAGAACATCAACAGAGTTCATCTGAGAAATGCAGCGAATCATGATCGCTCGCGAATATTAAAATGTATCGAGAACAATGGGGGCCATTTCGAGCAGTTCAATTGATTTTTTTTTCAGTATTTGTATTATTCAACTGTTATTAAATTTTTTTTCTGCTATAATAGTACACATCCACTTCCATGCGATAAGTTATGCAAGAACATAGAACACAGAATTCATAGCCTACTTGACATAAAAACAAAAATTGGAAATCAGTACCCCAAATAGAACAAAACTGTGAGTGTGATACATCACTAGAAAGGAAATTTGATGCTGATTTCAAATCTGTGAAAATCCAATATGGCGGCCGTGAGAAAAATTGAAGTTGTAGGTGATATTCATTTTACTTGGTTCTTTGGGATTTTCTCTCCTCGTTTCTGTAAAATAAAAGCATTCGTATTATTTCAATATATTTGTAAAGGGACAAATCAGATGATTTGCCCCAAAATGTCACTGCGTTTAACAAATTTTTCTATCAGGGAGCCTAAAAGAAAAATCCAGTAGCTTGTCAGTGACAATTTGTTTGAAAAAATTTTTGAAGGAAAGAAATATAGATATATTGAAAAAATATCGAATTTGTACTTATCTTTGGACGTTTCGGGACCGATTCTGCTCCCGTTCTCAACATGTAAATGCAAATTATTTTTCTTTGAAATTTTTGCTGCGTATAGTTTGACACTTTTCAATGTCATACTGATGTTGTCAAACTATACGCAGCAAAAATTTCAAAGAAAAATAATTTGCATTTACATGTTGAGAACGGGAGCAGAATCGGTCCCGAAACGTCCAAAGATAAGTACAAATTCGATATTTTTTCAATATATCTATATTTCTTTCCTTCAAAAATGTTTTCAAACAAATTGTCACTGACAAGCTACTGGATTTTTCTTTTAGACTCCCTGATAGAAAAATTTGTTAAACGCAGTGACATTTTGGGGCAAATCATCTGATTTGTCCCTCTACAAATATATTGAAATAATACGAATACTTTTATTTTATAGAAACGAGGAGAGAAAATCCCAAAGAACCAAGTAAAATGAATGTACCACCTCCTCGATTAACCTACAGACAGTATTGTAGGTGATATCTCAGAAATTTGACATTTTGACGGAAAACTGACAAAACCATTGAAAAGAGCACTGAAAAGTGCTATGAGAATGTTGAAGTCATTTTTTCATAAAATCAATAGGTTCCGAGATATTCGAGAAAAACAAAAATACAAGATTTCAGTTTTTCTCAAATAACTCAAGAATGACTGAAGCTAGCCCAAATTTCTCGATAGATTATGATTCAACATTAAATTTGCTACAGATTTGCTAATTTAACCGTTTCTCTATCTCTCATAGTTACTGAGATCCCATTGGTGAGGATCGAATTTGGGACACACTGTATACAGGGTGTTTCACAGGTAAAGGGAAATATCTCAATGGTACATAGGGGTCACAAAGGTGGTTCTGAAAATACGATATTTGATAGGTC